CAAGAGGATGGATGAATCACGTAATAGTCTAATTACTACTACATGGACTAAGGAGGAAATTAAGCTCGAAGATTACAAGCCCAAGACTATTAATTTGTTCCAAGTGACACCAAATGGACTTGGCCCATTTGGAGAGAAGGAATTTCGGCCCTCACTCCAAAGAGAGACCACCGGCCACACTCTTTATGAAGGTCAAATGGATCCCTAAAGTTTAAGGATGAGATCATTCAAATTTTATCTCTTTGAAAGATAAGACTTTATCTCCATAAAGGATAATATTTGGGATGATTCCTTTTTATCTTTGCTTTTCGAGTTTTCTTACAATAAAGAATCAACTTATTGATGTGTACTCAACCATTGGATGAAGACTACATCAAGATAGATGGCTAAGATCACTCTACAAAGAAGATGATGATAGAGTTTTACTCAAGGGAGATTCTATCCATAGGAATCTTTTTATGAGATTATCTCTTTGTATTTTGAGTTTTAATTAATTCCTACATAGTCTTAAATTCTTAAGACTAGTAAAAGTGTCTAGGTTTGTTATCTTATCACTTAAGATAACTAGAAGTCTTTTGAGTTTGATTTGATTTCAAATTCTTATAGATAAGAATAGAGATGAAGAGTTGTGTTCTTCCTCTACTTCTTGGGAAGGAAATTCGGCCACCCCCTCTATAAATAGGGACCGAATTCTCTTGTATGTCCAACACATATTGTATCATTGATATTTTCTGAGTGAAATCAAATTGGTTAGGATTTTATTCCTTTCGTGGAGTTCTTGTGAAGACTTCTTTGTTTAGTTGTTGCATATGTGTTGTGACAATTATTAGACTTATCTATCTTGTTTAGTTCACTTGATAGTGGCGTCTTTAGTATTGGATCTTTCGAATTTTGGTTATTAAGTTTATAGATCTCATATCTATTGGGTTTTCCTACACAATTTTCCAAGGGGTCTCTGCTTGGTTAGAAATAGTTCTCTTTATTCTTCATTTGGGTTGTTCTACCATTGAACTCGTGAATTGATCCATGTGAAATCAAATATCTTTTCTTTGTTTGTATTTCGTGTGTTTTTGTGTCTTTACATTCGAATTCTCCAAATTCCACTGCCTACAAATCTCTGTCTTTCTGAATTAGCCAAGTTGATCTTTCATTAAAATTAGTTTTGTCACGGATTGCTATCAGTAGTCCTACGGAACAGGGTCTCACAGTTATAATTTTGAGCTAGATGAACCAACTTAAAACTTTTTTGAATATGATCGGCCTAAATTTTGACTATTAGATTGATTTACCATCGCCATTTTCATGTTACAAGTTATTTAATGAAACTTGGTTGTTTTTGTTAAAGAAATTAAAAATTTAGTTATGTTACGTTTATACATGAAAGATCAATAATTCCTTTTTTTTGAAAAAATTATTTTAATTTGATAAATAGTCTAGTTTTATGTCGCCAATTCAAATATTTTATTAATTAATAATGTAAAAATATCGTTGATTATTTGCTAACTATTAGACATATCATTATGAAAAAAAAAAGTTATCATTATGATTCACATCGCAAATAAATTTAGATTAAAATTAATTTTTAAAAGTATTTTCCAAGTCAATTTAAGTTCTTTTAAATAAAATCATTTTATTAATAAATAAATTAACTATTAATTTTTTAAAATCAATAATTTTGATTTTTTAATATTATGATAATTTAATATTAAAAAATCAAAATATATTTTTTAAAAATAAAAATTATTTTATAGATAATTTTATATTAGAAAAAATAAATTAATTATAATGACTAATTTCTTTTATCAAATAAGTGCCAATTTGAAAATAGAACATGATTTAATAAACAAAAATGTACAGTATAATAAAAAATGATATGAAGATTAGACATAAAAATGAACACAAGTTTAATATTCAAAGGAAAGTAAAAAAAATAACAGTTTTTAGATGAGTAATCACAATCTTGGAATCTTGCACTTATTTTCCTTGACTTTCTTTTACTTTGTAAATCTTTTTACTTTCCTTTTTTTTTTCTTTGGTTGATCTTTTTTCCTAAAACTAAACAAACATTGAATTTTAATAAGAAAAAAATGATATGTATAATGAATAAAAATAATGACAAAACATAGTGACTGATGTGGACTAATCATGACCCATAATTTTTTGTCACTTTTCCGTTGAAGTTTTATTTTTTTTCTTCAAATTACATTTTTACCCTTGATTAATAACGATACATGTTTAGAAAATATGTGGTGTAATTGTCTTTTCATTTGTCACTATTCAAATTCACAATAATTTTTCACTATCTGTCTCATTGCTCTTTTAATAATTAAGAAAATGATTACTTTCCTGAACCAAACAAACACAAAAGTTTAAAAACAAGGAAAAAGATTACATTCCCACCTAGATTCATGTCTTATCTTCTCTTGCGAGTTCATCACCAGCTTCCTTCCTGGTATCTAATTCATATCATCTTTCTCTTGTAATAATCTCAATCAAAAGCTTCAGCGTTAAAATCCTTGGCCCTTACATAACTTGATTAAGGCTGAGCCCCGCAGATTGAAGCAGAGCTGAATCGAAGTTCAAATAGGGGAATTTAAGAAACCTTGAAGTTTAAAAAGGGAACGGTAGGATTAAGTATAAATCCCTCTAAACCAACTTGTTTTGTTGCCGTGCTGCTAGGTGCTATGAGGTGAGTTCTCATTGCATGCTTAATTGCATATAACTGGTTAGGCTAATTCCTTGAAATTGGATTGATTTGTCATTTATTTGTTTCCTGTGAAACTTGAATCGGCAATGCCGCTATTAAATGGTGATATCTAATTGCTTAATCATATTGATTGCGTTAACTTGAACTTTGGCGATCTCTGAGCCTCTGATGCAAGTGAACATCTTGATGACAGTGATCCTTGCTCTGCTAATTTATGACTGGTTCTTGTGAAAGCAAACGTGTTTATTGCTAAACGTTAATTCTGTTATTATTTGTGCATGACTAGTGGATCCACGTACCTGCTAGTGTTCAAACTAGGCGAGACAGTGATGAGCTGGATTGCTTGGTGAGGACATTAGAAGGTAGTGTTCGGGAAATCATCCCAAAGTGTTCGGGGCTCTGCCCCTAGTATTGGGTGTTAGCCCTAGTGTTTAAATCGTGATTGTATCTTGATCGTTCCCTGAAAAGTGATCACTGGGATTCTTTCTTGTTATAATATTTCTTGCTCGCTAGTTGAAAGTGTTTTAGAACTGTAAGTTAAAGTTCTCTGTGCTTACTGCAAATGTGTGATGGCAAAGTAACATTGTTTCCTTTGCTTGGAATGGCCTGTTTCTGTTATATCTCATCCTGTTACTACACCGCGGTAGATAATGAATCCTGCTTTATAAATACTGCTTGCTATTTGTTCACCTTTGCTTGATTGTGTGGTGCCTAAATTTAACGGCTCGGTGAGTAATGGGAATTCGCTGAGCGTGCGCTCACCAAACGCATACTATTTTTCAGGAATATGGGTCAATTAGTGCTCATCAGTTGTACGAGGTTCAGGATCTGACTCGGGATTGGAAGTCCAGTACCTAGTGATAGCAACCTTGCGTTTTAGAAATTAACTTACAATTTTGGAAGCTTGTAATAAAGCTTACCACTTGAAATTGTGTAATAGTTGATGTTGTACCAATAAATTGTGTATCAAAAGAATTTATATCTCAGAAATGTTTTACTTTTGCTCTTGATCACCGATTACTATTGTTTACTGAGACCTAGCGAGAGTTAGACAGGCATTTCGGTTATGCCTCTTTTTATAATGAAGGGGGACTAGTCGGGGCGTTACAATGTGCTTATCTGAAGGAACAAAAGAAATGAAGATAAATCCATGATGGTATGATTGGCCATTTTTTTTTGAAAATGATGGTATGATTGGCCGTTATATACAACTAAATAAAATCACTTTAAGCATTAATAGAGCAGCTCAAATGTTTCACTGGTTATTTTTAAGCAGAAGGAAGAAAAAACACTATAATCAATCTTCACAATAACAGTAGAGTACAACTATTAGGATATTTGCACTCACATATCAAGCTCTCAATTTCTATCTATCGAAATTTCAAATACTGATATTTACAACTGGAGAGTAACAACATTGTAGAGCTGTTACACCAAGAGTTATTAGATTCATGTAACCATTTTCTGTAATGGGCTCACAAAATAATTAATGAACAATGCCCGAAATCCACAGTTCTATACACCACAAAATATCAACAAAGAAGATACTCCAATTAGGAGCCATATATATATTTCGACCGCAAAGACCAGGGGAAAAGAAACTAGTTGCTTCTATGGTCGTGGAATCTATTGACAAATTAATTTTGTTGGTCTTGGAGAAGTCTGTCTTTGAAAGATGAAATTCTCTCAACTGGAGTTGGTATTTCTGGTTAAGGTTAGCTTGTGTTGATTACAGTTTCTCGTTGGTTTTTGCGGATTTTGACTTTGGTTGTGCCTTAGGTTGTCCTTGTCATGGTTACTCGGTTAAGGTTAGCTTATATTGATTTCAGTCGATTGTTGCGGATTTTGAATTTAGTTGTTGCTGGGTTGTCCTTGTTTAGTTGGGAGCATTTCTGCCACCAGAAGGATGTGTGTTGCTGTAGTTGGCTGCTGATAGTCCCTGATAGTCAATAGCTTCACGTTGGTTTCTCAAAAAAAAAAAAAAAGAAAGAAAGAAAGAAAAGCTCCAAGTTACTACATCATTGCCGATCTCATCTCATTAGTTCTTCTGCTCTTTTTACTTGGCCCACTTATTTCCGGGTGAAAAAAATGTATAGCTGATCTTCACATTGTAACCTTGTTCTAAAATTCGTTATTACAGCCATAGTAGACACGTGCTACTTGTAATTATTAATGTTCAGATAAACAATCTGCTTAAGCAAGCAGAAGTAGAGCCTCAAGATGATAAAAAGGTCACTGATAAAAATGACCACAACCAACAAAAAACGTGTCGGGATCAAACTACAACACATCATCAAAAAAATAAGTTTCCCAGCTCCTCAAAATATTTAAAAACTTTTGATGCCTCGGGAGATAATAGGCTCCATATCCTTGATGCCTTTTCCTTCACTTTAGAGTTATGCGATCTCGCCAAGAACTTGATCCTATCCAATCCTTTAGCTTCATCAATCAATCTGAGAAAATAATTATAGCTCCCAGGGAGGGTCTCATCTGCAGCTGGTTTAGCTAAGAGTTCAAGCCCATCCAGACAAACACTAATGATCTCAGGATCGTGGCTCAAGAGAAGCTCACATAATGGGTTTATAAAACCCTCCAAACCCTTAACCCTGCCCACAGTAAAAAAACAGACCTTCAGAATAATGTCCAAAACATCACGTAAAATCCAAAAGATGAAAATCGTACTTGATTCTGCCACAACTTCCAAAGCGGATGACATCAATAACAGCCTTTCCAGCAGCATCCCTTACACCATTTGTTCCAGTTTTCAGCAAATCAATTAAAGGTTCAATCAACTTGGTGTCAATCACTGCCTGAAATCCAGTTAATGGCCATCAGAGAACTGCTCAAACAAAAATTTCCATATACACAGCAGTCACCTACAGGAAAAATTGATTGCACCTTTGCATTTGCAACAGCAATAGCAGAGATGAGCAGGCAAGCTTCTTTTTTAGTGATGTTATTATCTTCAGTATCCAAAATGCTTCGCAAACGAGGAAGCACTTCGCTGTCAATTATAAACTGCAATAAAAACACTTACAATTGATACTACATGCATCATAAAACTCGTAAACTTAATCTTCTTATTGACTGGTGCTTTAGGAATGGGTTGTGGGAGGGAAAAAAAAAAATCAAAATCAGATGAATGATCAGACACAAAAAATCAGTGTTTCCAAAGCAAACATAGAAAGATTAGATCTGTTTTGACAAATTTGCAAGCAATTCAAAAGTTGGAAATATTCTATCCCGGCACTCATCAAATGCAAAACTATTATGAGCGATGGATTTTGAACATACCTGTCTCCGACAATCACTCCCTCTTTCTGCAATATTCAGAACAGTGCGAAGTGCCGGAAGTACACTAGACAGATATCTGTAAGATTACAATTTGTTTAAATATCAGAAACTCCTTAGAGAAAAGGAGGGAAATCAGAATGATAATCAAGTGAAACCTACGCAAATAGCTCCACAAGTAGTGAACAGATACCCTCCCCAATTAAAGATAGAATTTTATCATTTGCACTGGCAGAAAGATATACAGAGCCCAGCATGCATTTGCTGCCACAAAGTCATCTTCAAAATGAATGAGCAGCTGAAGATGTGGAACGGCATCAACCACCTGAAAAGATCAGGTCTCGTTAGCTTTAAATGGGGTGGAAATTAGAGGGGGAAAAAAGGAAAAAAAAAATTATTCGATTACAACCAACCTTCTCGAATGGAGGTCCTGGATCGCCCCGACAGAAGTTTAACAATGTGAATGTCACAAGCCTCAGCATTGAAAGTGTTGCATGCTCATTCACTTGCACAAGGAATGGACTCAAACCCTTTTCTCCCAGAAGAACCGAATCACGATACTCAGGAGAGGAACCAACAATGTTTCCCAATGCACATAGAGCCTAACATTAACAAACCATTCAATCAAACTTGCACCACCATTAAAAAGGACAAAGAAAGAAGTCAAGACAAGACAAGGCTTAAGAAAAAACAGACCATCTCGCGAACATCACCACGAGGAGAATCCAGGAGCTTGATTAAAAGAGGGACAGTTTTGTCCTCTATCACAGCATCAGTGTGATCAGAAGAGCTACATGCAATATTAGCAACAGCAAGGGCAGCTTCCAACTATTTTAAACATAAAAAAATATAAAAGTAAGAGATAGATATGATTGCAGATCAATAGTAAAGTGAAAAAAAAAATAAAAAATCAACAAGTGAAACTGCAAACCTGAAGCTCTGGAAGATCATCCCTTGACAGGCACCTAACAAGGTCAGGGGGCACTGAAAGATCAATTTTAGTACCTGTAAAAATAGATGGTAATCGTGAGAGGGGGAGAGAGGGAGAGAGAGAGAGAGAGAAAGAGTGTGTGTGTGTGTGAGGCAATGGAGATAAAATTAATACCAGAAATTAGGTTATTTGTTGCCTTCAATAGGAGAAAGGTGCCCAACAACTCCTGCGAGAGGACAAACATTACATCAGAGAGACAACTCAATGATTGGTAAATCCCTAGATTAACATCCCCAAAACCTAAACCACCTAAACAAATGTCGAGACACCTCCCACAACAGAATCAACAAAAGCAACAATACATACTAAAGAAAGATGCCACAAAAACAACAAATTTTGTACCCGACTAAGAAAAAAAAAAGGAAATGGAAACAACACTCAGAATCCATAATTTTCCCAACAGAATTGGGACAATACCCTTTCAAACCCACATATTTGAAAACGGAAAACAGAAAAGGCAGTAAGATAGAAGGCAAAGAATCATATCCGAAAATTCATAGTAAATCATCATTCAACGGGGTTTTGGAACGGTGGAGTATAACTCATCCACAAGAAGGCGGATCCCACCAGAACCAAAAAAGAAAAACGAAAAAAAAAAAAAAAAACTTGTCGAGATCGTCAGGAGCGGAGAAGGGCTGAGCAAGGTGAGACCCTTCACGTTGATGATTATCCTGCCTGTGATGTCCCTCCTCTGCCGTACGCTGAAAACCCTCCGTTCCGATCTGGCCCGGCAACATCGTTTCCAACTTGATTCCTTCGGACTCAACAAAAAAAATTCATAAAAATTAAAGAAAATCCATGTTTTTTAATCACTAGTACGATTATTAAAGAAAATTTATCCGGCTCACTTACCACATGCATTCTGTGAGTAGACGCTTTACATACTAGTGTCTGTCTGTTAAATCGTTTAGCTACTAAATAAAAAAATGGGGCCATTCCTTTCTCCCTTCTTTTTGGTCATCTACCTAACTATGGTTCCTTAAGGGTTTTTAGGTGTTCCTGTTTTCCCAATCTTTCTCATTTAGCTTCTCATAAGCTCCATGCTCGCTCTGCTCCATGTGTATTTCTTGGTTATCCTGAATCTTATAAGGGCTATCGTTGTTTTGATCTCGCTTCTAAGAAAGTTTATACTTCCCGTCCTGTCGTTTTTGATGTAATCTCTTTTCCATTTCCTCAACTCTCTTCGGTTCCCCAAAACAATCCTCCCCAATCTCCTTTTAAATATCACTCGTTCCTTATTTCACGATCCCTCCCTTCATCAAAATCCTCTCCATTGGTTGCTTCTCCTTCACAAAAACATGTGTCATCCGTTCCTTTAGTATCTGCACCCACACCTTCCATTTCATTGTCACATACTTCGGATCCTCCTATTTCGAATCCCCCTATTCATCATATGGTCACTAGAACTCGTGATGGTACCCGTAAACCTAAACAGATACTCTTTCTTACTGCCACTACTAAATCCTCTTCACTCCCTACTGAACCAAAATCCTTTACTGAAGCGAATAAATACCCTGAATGGCGTGCCGTTATGAATGACGAATTTAATGCTCTCCTCACTAATCATACATGGGATTTAGTCTCTCCTCCTGTTTCTGCCAATATTATCGGCTCCAAATGGATTTTTCTAGTCAAGCTAAAATTTGATGGCTCTCTTGATCGATGTAAGGCACGTTTGGTCGCTCAAGGCTACAATCAGCAGCATGGACTTGATTATGATCAAACATTTAGTCGGTGGTTAAACCTGTGACAATTCGAGCTGTCTTAAGTATTGCTGCTTCTCGAAAATGGCCGGTTCATAGTTGGACATTAAAAATGCAATTTTGCATGGTCATCTTAATGAAATTGTCTATATGAAACAGCCTACTGGTTTTGTTCATCCAGACCATCCTCACTATGTCTGTCGGTTGAACAAAACTCTTTATGGCTTAAAGCAAGCTCCAAGAGCTTGGTTTCATCGTTTCACTGCTTTTCTGCTTACACAGGGTTTTAAAGGTAGTCGCTCAAACACTTCCATGTTTTTGTATTCTTCTGGATCGAATATGGCTGTTTTGTTACTTTATGTTGATGGCATTCTCCTGACAGCTTCCAGCAATCATCTCCTCGCTACTATTATTCAGTCGCTGAAAGGAGCTTTCGCAATGACGGATCTTGGTCCAATCAGCTATTTCCTTGGTATTTCTGTTGCTCCTCACTCTGGTGGTTGGTTTTTACACCAACGCAAGTATGCTGAGGAGTTGCTTGCTCGCAGTCATCTCACCGATGCCACTCCAGTTGCAACTCCACTTGCTCAGGCTTTTCAATTTTCGGTTGATGAGTCTCCACTTTTTCATAATCTGACTCTCTATCGGAGCTTGCTGGGTGCATTACAGCATCTTACTTTCACCAGACCGAATATTCAGTATGCGGTTAATCTTGTCTGTCAACATAAGCATGATCCTCGTGAGCAGCACTTTCAGGTGGTCAAACGTATTCTCCGTTACATTAAGGGGACACTTCACTATGGTATACATCTCCATGTTGGCCCCCTTGATCGCCTTGTTACATATTCCGATGCTGATTGGGCTGGATGCCCTACTACCCTCCGCTCTAGGACTGGTTTTTGTGTTTTCCTGGGTTCCCCACTAGTTTCCTGGTCTTCCAAGAAACAATCCACTGTGTCTCGATCTTCTGCTGAGTCTGAATATCGTGATGTTGCCTCTGCATTGGCTGAATCCGTCTGGTTGGAGAATCTTCTGTCTGAACTTCAAATCAAGCTCTCACATCGCCCTGTCATCTTGTGTGATGATGTTTCTGCTACATACCTAGTTGCAAATCCGGTTAATCATGCTCGCACTAAACATATTGGTCTAGACATTCATTTTGTTCGTGAACGTGTTGCTGCTGGTCTTCTTTGGGTCCTTCATATTTCCTCACAATCCCAGCTTGCAGATGCCTTTACCGAATCTTTACCTAAAGATAAATTGTATTTGTTTAGAACCAATCTAGGCATGATTACATCTCCTGCTATGATTGCGGGGGGATGATAGAATGTGAAAATAATCGAAACCCTAATTAGGATTTTCTATATAGACGGTTAGGGTTGTTACACTATTGTACTATAAATACCACAATGTATCATGTGAATAATACACACAATAATTCTTTCAATTAATATTAATTTCGTTCACTTATTATGGAAAAACAACTACAGAATTTAAAACCATCTGGCTGCCGAGCCTACCGGAGGTATTGAAGATAGAAGGTTACCTAAGAGTGCGTGAACGGGAGAAAGTAAAGATGGGAAAATAAAAACCTTGACGGCTAAGGTTGGATCATAAATAGATCATAATTGTGATGGTGTCATAAACTGGGGGTTTGGTTAGAATTTACTACATAGTATAGGGGCTTAGTTGTAATTTTGTAATAGTTTGGGAAATTAGACTGCATAAATGGACATCTTCTCTGTTTGTATCAGGTAGCGAAGAAATAAATTGAGTTTTATTATTTTCTTTTATCTTTTTACTCTGTTTTTACATTTTCCCGATGTTGATCCTCGCCGGATCTAACACCTTGGTGTTCAGAGCGAGCAATCCTCGGCCTGAGTCACCGTCAGAAATATCAAAACAAAGTATTTGTGACTAATTTTCACTATGGTGTGGTTCAAAATGAAAGTTACCACTCCTTATGCATGATTCTCAATATTTGTGACTGTTTTATATCACAAACTAAGTAACGGATTGTTGGGCTTTAGTTTGTGAGATAAAACTAAAAACTGAAAAATTGCAACCCAGAATTGGTTCAATATTCCTGGAACCAACTAAAGGGTGTCAAGGAATTATAAGAGTATGAAACATGACAAATATTCATGAAAAGTTACGTGGGTGACTTGGAACTCAAGGAATATAAGCCTTGATTCGTATTCTTTCAATTCCTAGTGTTTGTCTATAAATAGGTGAACTACTGCAAGTTTTTGGCAAGATTTTTTACATTCCTAAATTCTTAAAGAGCAAGGAATAATTACAAAGTTGCTTGTTCTTGTGTTTCTTCGTATCCTAGTGACGAATTGTCAATCAGACCCGGTTTTGCAAAGCAGTGGGGGCAAATATTGTCTTAAGGACAGTAATTATACGCTTAGAACACATCCAACCACTGTGGTGGTTCCCCCAATATTTTCTTTGAATATTTCTTCTTAGAAACTCATCAATACTTTGTCTTGTTATTGTCATATTCTTGTATGATTTCTCCAACTACAAAAAGTTCTTATCTTTCAATCTTAAGACGATATTATAACCTTGACATTGATACAAGTATTTGAGGAGACAAAGATCAAAGATGGTGAAAAACAACAAAGATGTAATCTCACAGCATGGAGATTTTTTGGGTGTGTTCAAGTTGTTTTCTTCACGGTTTAGTTTCGTAGTCAAGTTCTAAAGACAAATCTTGAAAGATTTGGAGTATATACTCCGGCGAGTATACAACAGATAAGTTTTTTTTGTATTAAATGTTTTATCTTGAATTACCAAATTCGTTATAAATTAATGCATCATGATAATTTCAAAGTTTATATTTGTGTTTTTAATTTTGTATTAACCAAATCTAGTGTTGTCAAAATTATGTGGATTAATTTGTGTTTAAGATCCTATAATAACTATTTATTAGCGATCTTAAAGTGAATTTTGTTGACAAAAACAAAACATGCAATGAATGTTTCTTCATGAATTTCTTAGTTTTAAAATATGTGAAAAACTTATTGTTATAATTGTGTTGAAATTGGCCGTTTATTTGAAGAGTTTTGAATATTTATTATTCAAACTGGTAATGCCAATTGTGTTAAAAAATCTATAATCATAACAATTAAAATTTGATTGCATGTAAAAACATGTTCTGTTAATGTCCGTCGTCCTTGTCGTCAGTTAATTTGAGTTAACTGGAAGGTCGATACTTATTGGAATGTATTACAGTTTTATGTTTGGGTAAGTTGACTTTGTCGTCAATCTTGATAGAGTAGACAGAAAAGTTGACGATAACTAAATTTTAATAATTTTGGGGACAATTTTAGTTCTAAAAATTTGATAGTATGTATAAAATTAAATATTTTATGCATGTGAAATGTTTTTAGCGTGTAAAAATATGGTTATGGTGAGCTGAAATTGACAATTTTTATGAAAAGTTGTGATTTCTTGATATTTGGATGAATAGATACAAGTGTTTTTGTCTTGTAAGTTCAAGTGAAAAGATATAAACTATAATTGTATCTATTCACTCTAAGTGATAAGACACAATTGAAATCATTTGTCTACTGCTTCCAAGTGAAAAGACATATTCGAAAGAATTAGTCAATTGGTTAAAGTGAAAAGACACGAGTAAAAGTCATTTTTACTCATCCAAATGACATATTAACGTTGTGACCTTTAGTTGATGACCAAGTATTATTTTTGCAGTGAAACTTTTTGAATTGACAGCGCTTACTTTTGCATTGTTATGTTCAATATCAATACATTTGATATGGTATTATACTTGGATAGTTTTATTATTTGTGGCTGCTAAGGTATTATATATCAGCATATGATATAAATTAATTAGTGTCAAATACCTTAATAATAAAAATGTGAAACATATGCATAAACCATGTTTGCAAAATTACTTCCAAATAAAAATTGGAAGTTATTGCTGGTACAACACTTTGCTGTATGTGAACATAATAATTTTAAACTAAGGGATGCAAGAAATATTTTATCACTTTTATAGATAATTGCTCATATTTATGTGCAGGTTTATCTAGTAAAAATAGTGGATAAAATATTTAATACATTTTACAAGTAAATTTCTAGTCTAAAATTACTCTAGTAGGCAAAATGAACTAGTATTTAATAAACAACAAATAATTTGTCTAAAAATATAAAACTCTATGTGTCATGGCAGTGCTACGCTAGTGAGTTTAAGTAGCCAAAAGATTTGTGAAATAAACATTACTGAATACTTGTCCTATGTACAATGAAACTCCCTAGAGACTAAGTGTCTCCATGTGGAAGGGAAAAACATTGTATTATCTAATATAAAAATTTCAAAGTGGCACTACATATTGTTGTGTTCCTAGTCGGGACCAAAAACACTTAAGTATGTGGCTGTATGAACACTAAAGTATGTAAGCTATTTATCATTGATTATAATATATTGATGTAATTAATGGATGTAGATCTAAACCAGTAGGCCCTTATGCAGAGCCCACATTAATAGTTAATGTGTCATCTAGTAAACCTCTCAGTTTCCAAAGTGCAAGTGGTTCTATGAATGAACCAAAGAGAAAGACATTGACTTTTTGGTTTAAGCAAAGTCTAAAGCTCATGAAAGTTCTCTTGGAAGTTGTGTACTTAAAGGCTACTGTCTTCCTAGTGAGAGTAATAAAAATATTCTACCAAGTAAAACTTTATGATGGTTTTTCTTAAGTTAAAAACATTGATTTTTTTGAATTTTAGGCTGACGCATTTGGAAAGAAGAGTTAATCATGGAATGGACTTTATATTGTCTAACGATGTATGTGCCCAAATTGATTTAACTTGAAAGGTTCTAGACTAGTACGTTGTAAATGGTTATTCCATTAGTAATATGTCGTTGATAGCAAGAGACATCAATAGTATATTTAGACTTGAAGTGTAATGATTGTTTTGATTAGTTTGACTTGTATATTTTATCTTACTGGTTAGAAGTTTACATTAAGTTTTTCATGTTCACCTGTTAAATAGGAAAAATATTATCCTAATGGCGACTTATATGAAAATGTGTATTAAGAACTTCTTAATACTTTGTGGTATGAAATGATAAAAAGATATGTGTACTAGTGAAGTCTTGATTTGATTTTATACAATTACATGATGATTGATCTATGTTACTCTCACATGGTGCTTTTATGTTGTAAATTGCATATATAAAAAATTTGTGAGAGTATGTAATAGATGTTTGCTCTTGTATAAATATTTATGCTCATTACACATACTAATTTTTAAAACGTGCAGTAGATACTAAGAAAATCCTTTTTTCTAAGTTCAAATTAAATGAGCTTGGTGAAAGAGGTAATGTCTTAGTCGTTATGCTGAAGGAAAAAGTGGGGGTTTTGTACTTTCTTATTCAGATGATGTTAATAAGTTATTTACAAAGTGTCAACTTATGAATATGAAGGAAGTTTGTACTTTGATATTTAACATTTGTGTTAAACGTGACTATCCAATTACTAAACTAGAATCTTTTAGTAATCTTGGATGTCTTGTATGTGCATAAGAGTTGTGTTAACACATTCTGTGTAGTATGTGACTCACTGACTATACTAAGAGCCTAAGAAAGAGTCATCGTAAATCTAATGATAAAATCATAATGTGTCTTTCAAAGATTAAGGATTATGATTTTCTTAACATTGATTAGATTTATGTTGTTCTTAAGGGCTATTCGAATGATAGTCGGTATTCTAGCATTAGTGATTATAACCCTTTAGTGGTTAAAAATTCATGTTTCGTAGTGAGAAATGTTTCTTGATAAGTGATACAAACAATAATCACTCTCTCCAATATATAAAGAAAATGAAAGTTGAATTTGTTGAATTATCTTTAGTACATAAGGAGGTGACGTGGCCAAAGGGCCCTAGTCTGTGTCGCTTGTAACCTCGTTTTGTGATAGTTAGATTAATATATTTTGAACATTATGGAGAATTTCACAATGGGTAAATATAGAAATATTAATTCAAGATATGTATTTCTTAATGAGATACAAGTGTTGATGTTGTCGGTATTGTGTTTGTAAAATCACAAATTTGTTATGGATCCATGTACCACATCTCTTGCGAGAGAATTGGTATATTTCGACAACATGCGGAATGAAATTAAAACCTTATATATAAAATTACAAACAATAGAAACCCAACCTTCTTCTAGTAGACCACCAGATTGAAAGGTTCAAAGGGTAAATACAAGTTGTTTTGTAATTGTGAGCACCAAATCAATGTGTATACCCTTCCAAGGTTGGTGCATTATGTTACTTTTAAGTGAGGAGATTGAGAGTAATCTCTTAATAAAATTATTCATGAGTCTTCAATTATGGTTAAATAATGAATTTGCCTATTTAATCATAGAAGTGGTGCCACTTCTAACAAGAGTTTGAGGTTCTCTCTTGTATATTGGTCAAGAAACTAGGATGAGCACATGGCCAGTAATAGTGCTAAACAATAATATGATTAAAAGGAACGTTGTGAGTGTTCGTGCGTGCAAAATCACGTCTGATATGGTTTAATTGTTGGTTCAAGCAAAGAACCATCATTAAATTAGCTGAATTTGTGACTAATTTTCACTATGGTGTGGTTCAAAACGAAAGTTACCACTCCTTATGCATGATTCTCAATATTTTTGACTATTTTATATCACAAACTAAGTGGGGGATTGTTTGGTTTTAGTTTGTGAGATAAAACCAATTGAAAAGTTGCAACCCAGAATTGGTTCAATATTCTTGTAACCAACTAAAGGGTATCAAAGAATTAAAAGAGTATGAAACATGACAAATATTCATGAAAGATTACGTTGGTGACTTGGAACTCAAGGGATATAAGCATTGATTCGTATTCTTTCAATTCCTAGTGTTTGCCTATAAATAGGTGAACTACTGCAGGTTTTTGGCAAGTCTTTTTACATTCCTAAATTCTTACAAAACAAGAAATATTTGCAAAGTTACTTGTTCTTGTGTTTTTTCGTATCCTAGAGACAAATTGCCAATCAAACCTAGTTTTGCAAAGCATAAGGGCAAATATTGTCTTAAGGATAGTGATTACATGCTTACAACACATCCAACCACTGCGGTAGTTCCCCAATATTGTCTTTGAATATTTCTTCTTAGAAACTCATCTATGCTTTGTCTTGTTATTGTCCTATTCTTGTATGATTTCTCCAACTACAGATAATTAGTATTTTTTAGTTTATTCGTCAATTTGAGGTAGGAGAGACTCAAGAACTTAATCTGGAACAAGACTCTATTCAAACCACAATAGTTGATTTTTCGCCTTCTCAGTTTATAAACGCGAAAGGTGAATTTGGTTCGGCAATAGAAGTGGAGTCCTCTCCTTCAAAGCCACTGCCGGAGGAAAAATTAGGTGATTCTCTTAATTTACAAGCTTTGAATGAATTTTCTAATCCCAGTGATGAAGAGTATGTTTATGTTAATCCGTGTGGTGATCCTATGGGTTTAGTTTACATTGGTTGTGATAATACAGAAAATTCTGATGAAATACTTGTGTTTTTCACTTTGTTAATTATTGGGAAGGTAAATATTGATTATGCAAAATGGAATATTGACTCTGCTCCTTCCAAAGAGGTACATGATCATGAGTTTGAAGATGTTGATGAGCTATTGCATTCTGGTAATAATGATATGGCTGTTGATTTTATTATTTCGAATGTAGAGAATGGTTCTAAATGCGATTAACGAGGACTTGGATGTTGATTCTAAATTTTTGAAAGAGACTAATGATAGTGTTAATGCTTTGCTTGGAAAAGTAGATGATAATTCTATAAACTTGAATGTTACTAATGCTATTTTGATGAGTGAAAGTGTTAACTCTTGTGATGAAGAGGTCTTAAATATAAAGCTAGTTGATCCTGTGGTTTTAGAAGATGATTTTCCACTTATGGATGATATTGTGAAGTGCAATTCAGTGAAAATTTTGGAAATGACCACATTGCCGGAAAATTGTTTGTTAAGTGGCGACTCTACTGAATCTGAGACTGACTTTGACTCTGTTGTTAAGATAGAGGGTTGTGGTGATGACTGTCTAGATATTGATGAAATACCAAATGCTGTTGTTGATGACCTTTTCTTGGAAAAAATAGGTAAGAAATTTATGATATTGACTGATGAAATTTCAACTCCACTTGATGAGTATCTCAATGTTTACTTTGAGCTTTTAAAAGGGGTTAAATGATGATGATTGTTGGGTTTTTGTTGAACTTGTGGATAAGAAGTTTGCATCATCAAGGAAAAATCATTTGAGTTCATTTCATGATGATCCGGGTGCACATAGAGATTATTCTGATGTTGTAATCTTCTTGTGTGTTGATCATGAGTCATGTGTTAAGCTGGCTGCTACTTGCATTGGTTTAATTGAGATCAATCATGTTAAGGAGCTCAATGAAAAGTTATTTGTGTGCACTTATGATGGTGATATTTTCCTAGAGATTTCGGGTGATGAATTTGTGCGTATAAATGCTGTTAATAAAATCTGGATTAAGGACTCTATCAAGGATTTTTTTAAGACTGATAAAAACTTGTTTGGAGGTGATTTTTTCGCTTTTTGTACACCTACATTTGAACTGTTTGAGTTGAGGTTTACTGAGATTATTAGAGGTCCTTATTCTTGGTTTGAAGCAATAACTAGTTTCAGAATCGATACACATGGTGAAGTGCTTCATGTGAGTACAGATTGGACCGAAGAACATCATGGCAATGCTGGTTATGTATTATGCAGTGGATATTTTAAGTTTTGTACAGGTAGGAACCTTGGTGTCATAATCCTTGAAGGGTTCATGTTCTAGAAAAGCCTTGTTGATTTGGTGACATCTCAAGCCGAGTCTTGCTTTTGGTTGCTTCTATTTCATGTTCCAAGTTATTTTTGTGATGATGCTAACCTGTTCAACCTTTTGCCTGGATTTGAACTTAAGGACAAAGATTGGGAGGATGGTTTTATTGTTACAAAGATTCCTTCTTGCCCTATTGATAACATCTGGGCACTTCTTGGTGTGGGAACTCTTTACTGAGATATATTAATATGTCTGCCAAATTGAAAGGAATTATGTCCATATGGAAGGCTGAAAATCATTATAGTTGTTGTTGCCTTGAGAACGAGGGTTCTTTTAAGGGGAAGAGAGTTGTTATTCATTATTTCAATTTTCAGAACTTTTGGAGTACATGAACTCACACCATGGGATCTATGCCTTTGGAATGATGAATGGGGAGTTTAAATTGTTCAGATTTGCTGCAACAAATTTTAAAGTTAATGGTGAGTCCATTGCTTCTCAAGAAATGAATTTGACAAGAACAAGTGATATGGTTTTTGGCAATTACACAAGGAAGCCTCTTTCAGACCAAGGATCACATGACACTAGGGAGAAAAGCATCTAAGGAAATTTGAATGTCCCTCCCTATGCTGATTATCATGAGGAATTTGATGTATTGATAAGGAGTTGGGAACAGCATCTCGGGCAACTTAAAAGGGGTTTTGATTGTCTAATGTTTCACTGGTCATTTACTTCTATGTTTGATGAAGCTGAAAATTATAAGAAAATGGAGGTGTTTCCTATAGTTGTGTGTGTTTGTTATGAGGTCTTGGATGGGTTTCATGAGGAATTCGTTGTTGGAATGTTTAAGGAAGAACTAGGAATTGAGTTACTTCCTATAATCCGTTGTTATAGATTGGATAAAACTTATGAGAGCTCCTTTCGACAGAAATGAGCAACAAAAGGTAATATAGCTGTATATTTTACTTTGGTTTTAGAGAGTATGGATCATTTTCTTTTGTTCGCTGCTATACATATGGCTGTATATCTTTGTTCTACAATGAAGTACAGTGAGTTTTGCAAAAATCCAGCCATTAGTGAACTGAGGACATTTAGAGAAGGAAGTAGTTGTTAGCTAGCAGCAAAATATCAGCTATTGCAGCTTTCAGACCTGTGCATATGTCTTGGTTTTGACGGTTGTCAAAGTTTTGTGTTACTGACCATGATTCATAATGCTGTTATGCTCACACTCTTTGTTACTGCTGAGCTCACAAGAAGCACCTTGAATCCACATGAACTGCAGCTGCTTTATATTCATCCAACATTGCAAATTACAGTTGTTCACTATTATCTATCTGTAGAAGTTTTTCCTTTTATAGTTCCTTTTGCATTCAGTTTTTATTGTCACAGTCTTGGGGACAAGACTTATTTTAGGGGGAGAGACTTGTCATGAACTGGAGGTTTGGTTAGAATTTACCTCATAGTACTGGGGCTTAGTTGCAATTTTATAATAGTTTGGGAAATTAGACGTCATAAATGGTCGTCTTCTCTGTTTGTATCAGGTAGCGAAGAAATGAATTGAGAAGGTGCTTGGTATGAGGGTATCAATCCAGAGATATGGGTTTGACTCCAAATTGGCCTGCTTGGTTAGAGACAAGGGCCCACCAACAATACTTTCATATTCAATAAATAGTCACTTTCTCATTCCCAGCCCAAGTGAGAGGTATGACTCCCTTAAATTTAATTGGCTTCTTTTCCTTCATTTGCTCTTTTTTTTTTCTTCTCTTCCTCGACTTCTCCGTTGCACATTCATCTCCAACATCAACATCATCATCATCGACTTTTGCACAGAAAAGAAAAGCCTCATACAAAAATCTGTGGCTATGGGTTTGGGTGGCTATGGGGATTTTTGTTTTCTCAATTGATTTCAAACAGCAGTTCAGAAATGCTCCTCCCCAGCCCATTCCCTTGACTATGAGTTCCTTCAATCTGAGCAGAATATAGATAGATCAACGCCCAACTGTTAAAGAAAATCTAGAAATTTACGAAGGTGTTCGATTTTACTATAAATTTTGTTGTGGTAGTAACAATTGACGGTGGAAGCTGGAACATGAAGAGTGGGCGGCAATATCACAGTAGATTAGGGTATGATTTTGTTGGTGTAATTCTTGGGGCAAATATAGAATTTCGGTTGAATTACATTCTAGAAAAATAAATTACCAAGCAAGTTATTTTGATTTTCAAATCATATAGTTGATTGTATTGTACATTAATTACAGGAATTATAGTTAAATACGGATGCCTTGCTTAATTTTAGGAATGGAGAACATTCGATTTCATGTTATTATGGTTAATTAACCATTATAATCCGTGTACATTTCCTTTTTTTTATATTTCTGTTACTGATAGTTCAGTAAAATCATTTATATATATATATATGAAGATATGATTTTGATTATGTAACTGAAAGTTACAAGAGAAACGTGCTTGTCTCCCTGATTTGTTGGTGTAAATTGAATTTTTTCTAATTATCTTAAATTTAAATTAGCTATGGGTTTCCATATTTTATCTCAACATTTTTTTGGCGTTTTTTTTTATGGAGGGTTTTTTCAAGACTAATTTTTATCTCAAAATCTAGAGCGCCACATGTCAGTTTTCATTTTGTATTGAAAAAGTTTTTTGGATGGAAAATTTTCATTGTGGAGCTGACGTGTGTCTTTTTTGTTTGCTGCTTTAATTAAGTACAATTAAGTACAATGGATTCCCAATCTGTCACATGTGTATTTAGCATTTCAATATGATTTTCTTTGTCTTTTTTATCAAATCCAAATCTAAGTGATCACGTTAAGTAACTTACGAAGTGTTAAGTCTGTGATATTAATATATTACATTTAGCATATTGCTATCAAATAAACTTTATTAGTTGGAATAAAGAAACTCAAAAGCACCATTTCTTTTTTTTTTTTAAAGGTATCTGTATATTATTTATAAATATCTGAACTATTACAACGCATTCTATGAAATGCTGAAGAAAATCATTTCTTGTTTTCTCTCTTTTCTAAAGATTAATCATGGCAACACTATAAGATAACTAATTACAATCATTTAACTTTCTTTTACATAGATAATTTAAACAATTGCACTGTGTTTCGTACTGTAAATATACTCTCATGGACTCAACATTTTCACATGGACTCAACATTTTCACATATAAATGCTACTCCTTTCAATCCTTATTATAAGTTAATTTGATTCTAGCTAAATTTTATTTATTGTGTTCTTGCAAATTAAAATTAAATTTAAAATTATATTTTTATATTTATTGTCTTCTCTCAATTTTATAAAGTTTTTTATGGTTTTATTTTTAAAAATAAAATTTAGAATAAATCAAAATTTTTTATAAAGACGGAAGAAAGCATATTTTTTCCATCGTCTATGAAGTCAACACCATCTTATGTATCAAAATAACCAAATTCAGTTCTGACACTTCTCAAAGGTCAGATGTGGCGAAACATTAACATCAACAACCACATAAAAGTTTTTAGGTCGAAGACAGGACATGGCTACCTTCGCCTAATTAAACACCTCTTGATACCGAAATATTAGCCGGATTAATTACACATTTATTAAAAATCCTACAATGTCCAATTTAAATTAGCAAATCTACTAGCAAGTCATTAAATCAATCTTAAGTTTAAAAAAATTTGCAGTAGTTTCTTAAATCTTGATGGATTTTTTTCTTGAATGTGCGAGTCTACTATTTGGACTTCTAACTAGATTATGTTGTGGGTGATTAAAAAAAAAAGTTAATAGTAATATTTCTCCATCTTAGAAAAATATTCCATATTCTTTTAGTTTTCATCAATCTTTATTTTTATGGAATAGGAGGAATGCAAATTTTGACTTGCAACTTGAGAATTTTTTTGGGGAGGTTAATTTGAGATTGTTACCAAAAACAAAAGAGGAAAAAAAAGTTGAAGTTGATATGTCAAAAAGACAACTATGGATATTTATTAACTATAACATTAAATGCTAAAATATGACTATAAACTTGTTGATTAATGTAAAAGATTGTAATTGTACATTAGTAAACCAAAATTATCAAGTGTAGATTTGATTTCTCATGTGGAGAGCAAAAGAAAAGTTAGTATAGCATTTCAAATAATAATTAACTATAATCTTCCATCACAATCTTTTTTTTTTCTTCTTCACAATGATAAGAAGAAAAAATAATACTGTAATAATAAGGCTTGGCACAATTCTTTTAAGTCAAAAGACCATGATGAAAGTCTAACAACATAATTCAAAAACAATGACCACAAAATGTTCACACCTTCTTGCTAACCAAAACCATAAACCACCAAATCCACTCTCTCACCTGTCCCCTTCCTATCGGCTGCAGATTATTCGAGATTTTGCATGTTTGCACTAAAAATAATGACTACTAAGAACTAACGATTTTACGGCGTCGTCTATGTGATTGAGTAAAAGTAAATGTTTTTCAAAATTAATGATAATTTTATTAAATCGTGTCACCTGAGATCATCTTAACTTGAAGAATTAAAAAAATATTTACGAAAAAAAATCACATTTTTTTTTTGGTGTTATTAATTCGTTAATATAAATTGTCACACGGTCAACAGTCAATTTATTCTTCCCAGTTGTGTAGTAAACCAAAAAACTAAAAATAATTTGAATAGACAAAGTAAAACCGCTTTGAACCTTCTCTGAACCCGCTCTTTGTGCTGATCACCTGCCTTTTGTTTTCAACATTGGTAAGCCATAAATAAATAATAAAATAATAGTGAAAAAACAACAATGAAATAATTAAAATATTATAAAACCAAATAGGCCTTCTTTTCTTTTCTATCTCTTTCCTTTTCCTCTCAATAGCCACCTAAAAATTTAAAAAAGAGGAAAATTATATCCAAAGAAGGGAGAGAAAGAGGAAGAGAGAGAATATCTCTACAGCTTTTTAACATATATTCTTCCCTGAATTTTCTTTGATTCTTTCCCCAAATTAAAAACAGTAGTAACTTTTCTGGAATTCCCCTATTGATTTCCTTTTGAAATATCTTTGATTCTCCAATTCCATCTAACCCTCTGAATAAAACCCTATTTGGGATTTTATTTTATTCTGTTATCATTCCAATAATTGCATATAGATTTATCTGGATTGTTGTTCTTGAATAATAATATTTTGGGGGAATTTTTTTTCTTTCTTTTTCTCCCCTTTTTTCTAATTCCTGATATACCTGGTGATATTGATTTCTGATCATCTCAAAGAGTAAAATATTAATCTTTTCCCATCATCGGATATCAAAGGCAGTCTGTTTGTTTCCGACTTCTGGAGTTGAGGAGTTGATAAATAACCACCAGTTTTGCCTTTTTCCTTATTCGTTTATTACAAGAGTTGTGTTGGTAATTTGGAGGTTTTTTTCGGGTATCATCCATATCTCATAAAGATTGAATTGATACCCGAGGATTTGATTAAAGAGTGGATTTTGATATCTGGGCTGTGATCAGATTGCCATTTTTGAGGCCTTGAGCTTCAGTTATGGGCAAGAGTTCAGGGACTCTTGTTAAATGGAGGGAGTATTTTCTGACAGCAAACACGGATATATTTGATATAATCGAGCGTGCAATTATGGTTGCTGCCATCGATTGTCCGACAGAGTTCAAGTTGAGGAGAGATCGAATTGCTGAATTGCTTTTTACTTGTAAAATAACCAAGTGTTTTGGCTGTGACAAATTAGAACTAGCTGTTCCCAACGATGGCGTTCATGGGAAAGAAGAAGAGGAAGAGAAAGACAAGTTTGATAGTGGTTTTCATAGAGAAACTGAGATTGATGCTGATAGGAATAATGGTAGCAAGGGGAGTTTCAATGGGATTGATCATCATATTAAGGGTGAGGAGATGGAAGTGAATCTACATCAGCAAGGTAGCAGCTATAGTTATGGGGATGCTGAGGCACTGACTGATGAGATTGAAGAAGAGTCTCAAATGTTTGCAGAGGTCATGAGGATCAAAGAGATTCTTGATAATGGAGAAGATGAGGTTTATTCTCTTTACTTTTCTTAGCAATTGAAGCCATTTAAACTACTAGCAGATCAATTTTAGCTTTCTGCACTTCTCTTCCATTTGATTGTTCTTAATTGGGGGTCTTTCTGAGAATTAAGTGTTCAGACTTTCAATTATCATGGTTTTTCTGTCTGTCCAATTTTGCTCAATGCATTACTTTCAATGGAAATAAATCAGAACCATTTTGGTAATGTTTCCCTGATGGTACAACTGGGCGTAGTTTGTCAATGTTTAGGTAAGCTGTATGGGTATCTGGCTATATTTTCATGATTGAGTGCATAAGTTTTGTTAATGAAGCTATTTTGTTGATTTCTTTAATGTCTTTCCCCACCTTTCTTTTTTAACTAGTTTTGATTGATTGTTTCCTCTTCTACAGTCTGATGCAGTGTTGTATGATTCACTGAGAAGGCTACAACTTATGCTTTTGTCTGTGGAGGTTTTAAAGGTTCGTTCAGCCGAATCTGAAGCTAGTTATTGGATATTTGTCGTTATTGTGAGACATTTGAATAAGATGCGGAACTTAATCAAACTTTCTTCGCTTCAGGCTACAGAAATAGGAAAATCTGTCAATGCTCTTCGGAGACACGGATCAAAGCAGATTAGGCAGCTTGCAAAGACACTTGTCGAGTATGGAACTCGTGCCTCATGTTAATTTCGAAGACTTTACTTGATAAAACGTTTGGGAAACTGTGTATTGTTTCTTCTTTATGAAACTTTTTGTTTCTTCTAAAATGGTATTTAATTGCGATTTTTCACCTTTCCACAGCATTGCAATAATTGCCTGCCTTTCTGAATTGAGTATGCATATCATGTTAGCATGATTTATAATGATTATGAAAATTGGATTTTTCTCTTTATCAGCTAGCGGTTCCTTCTGTCTTTTTTTGTTTTCACATCTTTAAATAATTCGAACTCTTGAATTTTTCCCTGTGAAGCATTTGATTGCTGATTGTTTCTTCTCGTCTTTCATTCAGGAATTCCTTTTTTTTTTTTTTTTGTTAATTGATTCTTGACAGTAGCTCATGGTGTATCCTCTGCTTTCTAATTGTGACTTGCAGTGGCTGGGTGGTAATGGTGGATGAGTGGATGAGTGCTGCAGCTACTGTTGTAAATGGTATGTCAAATATTGTGCTTTAAAGGCTTTTGCATCTCCACGTGTCTATTTGTTCTTACTCGTAACGCATTTTTTCTTTTGACTTGCCTTAACAGAAGGGACACCCGAATCTATGAAAAAGTCTGATTTAGTCGATGAGGAGGAGGGGCTGCCTTCCCCTCCACTGGATGAAGGATTTCTTTTTACAACCCAATCTATTCCAATGGAACTGTCACAGGTATTTCATCCGGCCTTTCCTGTTAACTCTTTATTATACCTTTCCCCTTCCTCGGTGCTGATTATTTATACAATTCTTTTCCTGGCTTGCGTTCTCTGAAGTTATTCGATGGCATGGATGATGATGGAAGTGAGTGAATTTGTCATTCTGATTTTCTACTTTGCTTTTGCTATTCGGTTCTTTATTGAAATTCCCCACTAATGGATATGTATCATTTTGTTTGGGGATGTTGTTCAGATCCTCAAAACAGTGGGGAATTTAACAAGAACCGTGATAAAGGCAAAAAGTCATCAATGGATAACCAGAATGTTCCAAAACAGAAGCAGAAAGTTCATGGTGAGGGTGTTACTCCTCCAAAGGACTGGAAGAGTGAACAGCTGAAGAAGCAGCAGCCAGGTTTGAAGAAACAAGAAGCAGTAGTGAAGCAACAAGCAGCTTATCCAAAGACTAGTAAGCCCTCTTCTGGTGGTGTTGGGCCAGGCAGACCCACAAAACCTGTTGTTGGTCTTTCTCAGTCAAAGCCTCAGCAGAATTCAGATAAGCTGACGACTCAGAAGAGGGAAGTGCCTCAGCAAAATGTGAGTGTTAATCAATGATGATGATTTAACTTTCGATTAGATTTGAATGCTGAGCGTCTTCAGGACTGAAATAACTATCTTCTTGTCTAGAAAATGAGGTCCTCAGACGAGGCAGCTGTTCTATTAAAATTGGAAGCCTCGAAAAGGAAGCTCCAGGAACGTTATCGAGAAGCTCAGAATGGTTAGTTGGCCATTCCAAACCTCTAATCAGTTGAAGTAGAAAAATCCATTTAAAGTTCTTAATGCGGAAAATTTCTGCAGTAACTTAGTTTGCATTGTGTCTTGTTAATCTTATGGTTGGTCATGGATGACCTAATATTTTTCGTTTTTGCAGCCAAGAGGCAACGAACTGTACAGGTTATGGAATTGCAGGATCTCCCAAAGCAAAATCTTGGCCAGAGGAATCCAAACATGAGACCAGGAAACCACAATCGGCACTGGGCAAACAGTCGCAGATAGGTTTGAAAATTCAGTACCTTAAAAAGTTCGCCCTCCATTATGAGCCAAATTGAAGAAAAGTGAATTTTCTTATGGGGTGAGATTGCCTATATATAGATGCATCACAGGAGTGCATTGAATATTTTGATACTCTTATTGTGGCAATTCCTTCCAATGGAGTCTTGTTCTTTACTCGAGGTAGGGCATACCATTGAATTTAGATATAACTGAGGAGAGGGAGGAGCATTCATTCCTCTGTATAATTTGAGGAACCCTAATTGGACACCAGTGACTTTCTCAATCTTTTCTTTGTTATAGACAGATTGGACATAAAACAGTATAAAGAGAAGCGTGAAAATTTCAGTGCTTCTGATTTTGTGTAAAAACTATATAGACATCAATACAAAAGAAGGTTGACAGATTACTCGGGCCAATGTTGGCAATTGGCTGTCCCATAAATTTCTTTACATTGTTTTGAAGATTTGATGATCAGTTCTTGTGTTGAACTTAGGATAAACGCCATTAATATTCCATGGCCCTTTCTTTGAAGGGCAGGTAACATTTCTTGGAGTTGCATATCAATCCTCATATATGAAGAGCTTTTGAGGTTCAGGTCAATCATCCAAGTTATGACATGGAAACTTGATATGGAATTATGGTTATTGGGTTGGAGAAACAGATGGTGGGACAAGTCTTTGAGTTGTCCATTGCTTTGTTCTTGAGGACTTTTTAATTAAAGGGTGGAAGGAAAAAGAGTAGAAGTGTAGACGATTTAGTTGACTTTTGGAAAAAAGTGAGATTTACTCATCCTTGGAGTTCTAAGTTGGAAAAATTCATGAAATTCAGGTTTGATGTTGAATTTTGATCAAGTCAAAGCTAATTGCCCTTGAATTTGATATATCATTTTTTTTTTCTAATTAGGAAGTTATGCCGTTGAATCATCAAACTTTTGAGATCAGGATGATACAAATAATAATCATTACGGAAAAAGCTATCGTTAAAATAATTTTCAATTTGAAACTGACTCTAAATTTTTTGGGCCGAAGTTTAATTCAAATTTGTTCAAATCAAACTCAAATAAATTATTGATTAACTTAACCAAGGGGCTAGAATTTCGAATCATTTTATAGAGGAGAGTATGTCATAATTTGTTTGGGAATGTGTAAATTTGTTTTCAACAGCCGGCCCCCACCTGTATGTGACACAAAATCCATTTTTCCATTTTGGACCACAACAATATTTATTTAATGCAATATATTTCTTCTTAAAAGTTCCCAATCTTCTCCTTTTCATGTTGGAATTAATAATATTTTATTGATTCCACTTATCACTTTCCCGTAGTTGGATGAACATTTGTTTGTTTACCGATTTGGTTCTATTTCTTAGTTAATGGAGTGAAATTTGAAGCCACTTTCTCATTTCTGCTTTTCCCTTTTTTTTTTTTTTTTGTTAAAAAGCCCCGTAAAATGAGTGAATATTCTTATGCGTTCCAAAAAATAAAAGATACCTTTAAGATGGCGAGAATACCGATTTCATTTTGTGGGGATGAAATTTAATTTTTTTGGAATGATGTCAAAGAATCAGTAAATTTGATACTCCCTCCATTTTAATTTGTAGGTCGTTTTAGGTTTGGAATGATCTTTCAAAATGTAGGTCGTTCTGCAAATTCTAGGCAAATTGATAATTATTTTTTCAACTTTACCGTCAATAAATAATGCCAATATATTTTCATTTAGTCTTGTTTAGAGTTCTAATGTAATTAATGAAGGGTGAAACAGATATTTAACACATAAATTAATTGTTAGATGATTGTCTCCTTAGTATACATGCCAATCCTAAAGTGACTTATATTTTGAAAAGGAGGGAGTAATTAAATTAATCATGAAAGGAAAAACAAAAAACAAATGTCTGTTACCGTTCTTGTTTCTTGCAAATCAGGGACGCTAATAAGAAAAATCACTAACTGGCTCCCAAGTCCCAATTCTTTTACTAACGCTTTGACTTTTGTTAAAAAATTTGAGGCAGTATTTCAATCAATCCTTAGCTTTCAGAATTACCTTTCCAAGAGTCATAATACTGTACATATATATTATACTATATTTATTTTAGTTATAATTCTTTTTCATCTGATAAACAGAACCCGTGAGCTAATGAGTGATCTGGATTGTGCGGCATGGGGATTACAGAGCTTAAAATGTAACACTACCGAATTAAATGGGTTTGTGAGGAAACGGTGGTGAAACCAGATTTATAATCGAAGTAAATGTATAAATTAGAAAATTACTCATTTACGTCCTGAAACGGTTTTAGTCCAGATTTTTAGTTTTACTTAAAATACAAACAAGACAATGATTTCAGGACAAAAAGAATATATCATTTCCTATTAATAAAATTTATAATAGACGAGAGCTTTAACCGCAAATGCATTCCCTCAAAAGGGGGAAAAAAAAGGAAAAAGAAAGAAAGAAAACCCGCAAATGCATCTCCAATTGCATCTTAATTTCAATCAATAATTATAACGAACATTTATGATCCAATTCAGATATCTTGAAAGCATGGTTTAATCCCTACTTAATTCTTTTTATAAGAACATTCCATTAGGTTTCTTGTTTTTTTCGACTCAAATACAATTAAACTAAATGAATCATGCAATGCAGCCATGATACTCCCTCCTGTCCTTAATAGGCATTTTGATTTATTCTAAATTTCACTTAGTACTTATTTTTAATTAATAAAAAATTCTAAAAAATTTTATACCAATTAAAAGAACACAATGAATGTGAAAATATATTTTTAAAATTTTTTTGTCAATTAAATGCATATTAGACGAAATATATAATAAATCAAAATACCTTATATTAAGGACAGAAAGGAGTATATAGTAAAAGACTTTGGAAACTTTCTCCTCAACGAAATTTAATCTCTCTAACTTGAACTTTTTATTAAGTGAAGAGAGGAGAATTTTCAATGGTTCTTAAGAAATACTCCCTCTCGTCCCACGGTCTCAAAATTATTGTTCAGTTTAGATTTTCATTTTAAACTAAAAATAAAAATCTAATTTGGACAATAATTTTGGGACGAAAGGAACATTAAGAGATGAAATTGGGAAAAAAAACATATCCCTAATAATATATTGAGGAAAAAAGGCGAAGAGAGAAAAATTTCAGACGATTCTTAAGACACCAGGAGAAGAAATCATCACATTTTTATAAGCCGGAAAAATAAAGAACACAACAACATAGGGCAAAGAGGGAACCATATCATAAAGTTTCCATTGTGTAACTCTGTATAATCTTATTCTTTTAACAGACTTAAGCTTATCCTCTTATAGTGGACAAAAGGGCCCATGATTAAGATCATACAGAGCAAGAAACTTTGGCTAATATCAAACACTTAAGTGGATGCAAGTCTTTATCTTCAAAACAGGATATACCATTTCATTTTAGAAGAGACATAAAGTTCAATGACAGCAACTTGAGAAATATAATTAATCACAAATTTGCATTTACATCTAAGTTTGATAATGATACCATACCAAAGCATGTAATTTAGAAAACACAGTTGCATATAACAAAAAGTCTTTTTATAAATGTACGCCGTAATTAGTACTTAATCTCTGTCGCTGAATTCTATACAATGCAAAATGGGTAATGCACAAGTGAAACAGTATATAACACAACATATACTATGGCAAAATTCATTCAATTTTCACTATGACAAAATGTGTGAATATATATATATATATATATATATATATATATATATATATATATAAACCTTGTCCGATCTCTTGTCACCAACATTTTGTAATATACTTACAATAATAATAACTCAAGATTCAAGAACTTACTTCCATCTCTTTTATTAAACTTCACATTAGTATGTAGACAACAAGACTTTTTCCCTTCAATAATTAACTACAGAATCATAACTACGACAGACAAATTGGAAACAAAACACATGGCCGTAAATTTCGGAATACCTGGCCCCCAGTCATATCATAGAAAGTGATCATACCAAGTATATTCTCACCTATACTATGACAAAATTCATTCAATTTCCAAGGTGGTGTGCTAAAACAAGAGCTTTGTGGATTTTTCATATGAACTGCAACTATTTTGAAAATGTGTAGGTGAATCTGGAGGATGAAATTATGGCTTTAAAGGCAATGATAATCCCTGAATACAACAACGCAAGCAAACCAATTATTTGGCAAGTCCGGTTAATGTTCGCTACCAACGGGACTTGCCAAAACTATTGAAGAAACTAAGAAAGATATGGTCACTCTATCCAGTTAAAATTTGAGATAATTCAAGATGCTTATTCTCTAACAGCTAGTGTTTTATGATTTGGTTTGATGGTAATCATTTTTTTTTCTTTTTTTTTTTGTGAAAAAATGGTTTGATGGTAGTCATTTGATGGTCATAATAAATGTGGAAACGATTTACTATCATGTTCTATATTAATTAAAAGTATAATTTTGACAGGGACAGGTTTTCATTCTTTTCAATAGGTACCACACATAAATCGACTTTTTTTTTTTTATTTTAAAAGTAGTGTTTTCAGTTTATATAATACATCATGCACGACCATTATAAATCACATTCTAATTGTATAATAAATCATAATCTAATTAATAAAGGTCATTCACGACGTTTTTTTGGTGGACTATTTTTTTTTTTTTTGGGTAGATTGAGGGATTAAAATACAACCAATACCGGTGCAAACATCTATGTATGCCAAATCCTAGGGTATTATTTATTTATTTCTTTCTCTTAGTGACTTTGGATTATTGCCTCTCAAATTTTGTTTTCATTCCCCTGGAGGAGTTTGCTTTCTAGTTTCTTGAGAAAAAGTGGGAAAAAATGACTTTTTGGATGATAAATTTGCAACTTGAAACATTGTGATCGTTTGATTTGTTTAGTTCTGCTTATTTTTCTCATCAGGGATGGCCAAAGTTGTGGATTTGAAGATGACTGTTGAGGAAGGAAGACGGAATTCGGAAATTTGGATATACGAATCATGACGAGGTAGTTTCCTGTTGGCATAAGAGTTCTTGCAGTTTGATGATGACCCTATATTTTGCATGAAGTTATTGGAAGGCCTTCTTCAGAAATGCCAGTATAATGTTACAACTGCGAGGCAAGCTAGAATGGCTTTGAAGATGCTCAAGGAAAATAGATATAGATGGGTTTAAACTCTTTGGAGCTTGTTGGAAGTGATATATGGATCTACCTTCATCGTTGTTGTCAGCAAATCGCGATTCCAAGCTTGTAACTCCATTAACTCGAACAACCCTTTTGATTGGTGCCCCAAATATTGCTTTGGTGTTGCAGAGAAGAGTTTCCCTCAAGCAATGAATGGGAATGGTTTTGCCTACCAAATCTTTCACCATTCTTGCAGCTAAGTGAGACAGAAGGAAAAGCTATAGCCAGTGAACAGTACATGTTGCTACAAATACAGCCACATGGCCTTTTCATGGCCTGAGGACTCCAATGATCATGACGGAAAGATGTTCGATGGCGACATGGGAGTATTTAATGCATGCCGGTTTTGTTCTTGCTTAGATGCCAACCACATCTATTAACTTGCCAGTGAATTTAAACGGTCGTAAAAAACTCAAGATCAAGATCAACAAAAGTTGGGAATGGAGAGATTGCAAGAAATTGCGATCGGGATTGCTCGAGGAATCGAATACCTCCATCAAGGATGTGAACAGAGAATCCTCCATTTTGATATCAAGCCACAAACATGTTGCTATACGAGAATCACAATCCAAAGATTTCTGATTTCGGGTTAGCCAAATTATGTGACAAAGGAAGAAGCGCAATTTCCATGATGACTGCAAGAGGAACAATGGGCTACATTGC